CGTAATATTACTTCATCAACTTAATTTAATTATGTAAAAAAGTCACAAAATAATATATCATAATTTAAAATAATCGATTATTTTAAAATTATAATCGATTAGTTTAGCTTATAATCGATTATAAATAGTTGCGAGTCTCCTCGCTCAAGCGATGGATTTCTCGCTTGAGCGAGAGTTGACCACAGACTAAAGGTCCAACACAGTTAGTCACATAATATAACTTGGGTCACCACATATTTCAATCACTTTTCGTTCGAGTGAGAATTCTATCGCTTGAGCGGAATAGAACTCACAATACCCATTAGTTACAGGTCTCCTCGCTCAAAAGATGGATTTTTCGCTTGAGCGAGAGTTGACCACAGACTAAAGGTCTAACGCAGTTAGTCACATAATGTAACTTGTGTCACCACATATTTCAATCCCTTCTCGCTCGAGCGAGAATTTTGTCGCTTGAACGAAATAGAACTCTACAATACCCATTAGTTGCAAGTCTTCTCGCTCAAGCGATGGATTTTTTGCTTCAGCAAGAGTTGATCTTGCACAAAATAATTGATCATAATATGAAATAATCGATTATTTGAAAACATGAACAATAAAAGGTGTTAAATGAGTAAATAATGATGCAAAGATGCTATTTTGAAAAATATTTTCTAGAATGATATTATTTATGGAAAAAAGTCCAAGAAAACAGTTGAAAGCACAAGAGTAGTTTTTTTTAACACCCATGTTAGAGCATATAAGTTGCATGTAGGCATGACAACAGGGTAGGGATGGATTTTGTCTCCTTGATTCTTGTCCTCGACTTTTTTAACCGTCTCCGTCTTCATTCAATCCCTATTGGGATTAGAAAGTAAGTTTTTATTTCCGTCTCCGTTGGATTTTGGGTTTCTCCGCCCTGATCTATATTATTTTTAAAAAAATAATTATATTTATAATAAATTAATTTTATTAATTTTATATATTTTTTTATAGATAAATAAATATTTATAATTTTATAATTTGTAATTATTATTAATTAAATATATATTTTAATTTATTATATTTATATTGAAATATGTACGTAAAAGAAATATTTAATCATTTTTTATTTATATTATTATTATTATTATTATTATTATTATTATTATACTGTATCCAAATATTTAATTATATATATAAGTTAATTTATTTTTAAGTTGTCATTTAAAAATATGAAATATATAATTTATAAAGAAATATTTAATAAGTTAATTTTTATTTAATTAGTTCAAAGTAATAAAAGTTTAAATTATCAATTATTTTTTAATCCTTTAAAATACAATTGTTTTATTAATATAAAATTTGATATATGAAAAATAAGAATAATAAGATAAAAAACATATGACATAATAAAACCTAATAAATATAAATTACAAATAAAATAATATTAGTTACTACTAAGATTTATGTAAAATATTTAGAAAAGATAAAGAAGAAAAAAACTTAGTGTTCATCAAATTGGTTGAAAATATTGAAAAAAGAGATTAAGAAAATGTGAAAAACTGAAAGATAAGAGAATGAGAATAATGTAATAAAATAATTAATATAAAATATTTTAAAAAAGAATTAAAAAGTGGATAAAAAAAGTAAAAATGGTGAAACATAAAAAAATGACCTTAAATATAATATAAAAATAAAATAAAATAGTTTTAAAATATTAAAATTTTAAAATTTAAATTTAAAGGTAAAGGTAAGATTGTATTTGTTCCACTTTTGATCAACTCAATTTTTTTCCGTCAAATTTGGGATAGAAACGGTTCCGTCCCTATAAATACGAGCATGAATCAAATTTAGAAAAAACAAATTTGAATTATTTAAAGTTAATCATTTGAGTTGATTGCTTCATTAATGAACTTAGACACAGTTAATTATTAAAGTTTTCAACCTTAAATGTTAAACAGTAAAACCTAAATCACTGAAGTTAATAATTTTTTTAGTGTATATAGTTTTTTGTTAGTCCTAAACACAGGGACGAGTTTACAGGGATCAGGGTGACCACGCCTTCCCAACAAAAAAGTCAACTTTATATATATATATATATATATATATATATATATATATATATATATATATATATATATATATATATATATATATATATATATTAAATAAAAATAATTTTAAAATTTTTTTCACCTTTTATTTATACTTTTATTCTCTTTCACAATTTTTCACCTACAACTCTTTTTGTTTCTCTTTCTTTTATTTTCATGTTTTTTATTTTATCTTCAATCTTCTCACTTTCTCCACTTCAATTTTTTATATAAAACATTTTTTTAACATTTATACCTTTTTCTTTATTAGTTATTCACTTTGATATTTTTGTCTTTCACGTTTTCACTTTTTAATATAAAATTTGTAAAATTATCTTTTTTATTTTTTTAATTTTTGTTATAATTTTACATTTATAGCATAAAATTTACAATTTATTATTTTTTAATTTGTTCCTTTCTATTTACTTGAGAGACATTTTTCAAATTGAAAAAAAGAAGAAGTCAACAAATAAATGATATATCACAAAATAATTTTTTTGAAATAAATAAATAGTAAAAAAATTCATTATTATTTTTTTATTATAATAAATTAGTATATGTAATATAAAAATATAAATATTAATAATATATTTTTTTTATTTACTATGAATTATTTAGTTGTTTTGATGTTTTATTATATTTTATTTTAATGATAAAATATGTAAAAAAATAAAATATCAGATTAAACTTTAAAGATGTTTAAGAAAAAAATTATAAACTTATTAACAAAATAATAAATAATAAAATAAATTCTAGTTTCCAAAATTTAAATCCATCTAAATATTATTGTGTAATCTATTATTAATCGATTTATTTAACAATTTTCTCTAAGAAGATATAAACATGAACTTGATATATTTAAGTCTAAGATTACTAGTATTTGATATTAACAGCTCATTTACAATTTTTGACTTTATCCTTACTCATAACGTTAATAAATAAATACTTTCATGTATTTAATATTTTTCTTTTCCAAACAAGTCCTTCTTATCTTTAACATTTTTCTTTTGTTTTAAACAGGTCTCTAGATGTTAAAATGCAATTAGCTTTAAATATTTTTAAGTTGGCCTTCAAATATTATTAAATGAAAAATATTAAATAAATTTTATATGTTTCACATGTATCTTGTATTTTAAATAAATATCTAGATTTATTATTAAAATATAATTTTATTCTCGTATACATAAATTAACTTATATTTTTTATCATAACACATATGAATTAAATAATATTTTAATACGATAACATTTACTTAAGATATAGAAAATATTATAAAAGATAAAAATGATTTTTAAAGACTTAATTTAAGATAAATTAAAATTTCCATACACTTAAAAAATCAAATTATGATTCTACCTAAAATAACTTATATCAATTTTATAAATATTCTTTAAATTTCAGTTTAAATCAATTTAATTCACAAAATTTCTATAAATTTTTAATGATTTTTATTTCTGGTGAAAAAAAAATCTAATTTTATACAAAGAGTAGATAATCAAGTGAGTTTTTAATGGGATGAGTGAAATATTTAATATTTAATATTTAAAATCATGAACTAAATATCTAATTTTTTTCCTCTTTAGTATTATAAATATAAAAATAATTTGATTATGTTTATAATACCCAATGAGTCAATACAGTGTATAAGTTCAAATTAAACAATAATATTTGAATTACAAATTTACAATGACTTATGTTCCCATAAATAAGAATAAGAGTATTAAAATAGTTGTACTGTAACAAGTATGTAATTAAACATAAATATTATTTTCAAATGGACTTATTCTTATGTCTCATGAAATACAATTACTAAAAGTATAATTAAGACTTTCAAAATATTATTAAAGATAATTTTTATTTTTCAATTATTTATTTATTTAATTAAGTTAGTTCATCTAGTAATAATTTTTTTTATCAAATTTTCTATTTTTAAAAATACAACAATATAATATTCGAAAGTATTAAACTATTTTAATTTTATAAATATAACAATATGATTATTTCTTACGATTCAAAAAGGAGATTTTTCTAATGAGTTGAAGATCTCTTGGTTAGTTGAGTATCTTCATAACAACAATGGAACATAGATGAAACATTTATAATTAAGTAAAAAAAAATTGAATAATTAAAATAAAATCCTTATCTATTTTAGAGTTAATATTCTTGATATGTCAGTAATGATGTATTAAAAAAAACAATATGGTATAATCTTTATAAATATAATATTAGATATAAGGAACTGAATCAAAACTTTATTAATAATAAAGACGAATAAAATAAATAGATAATGACACTAAAAAGATAACGAAGTATGTTATGAAAATATCTTAAAAAAAATAATTAAAGAAAAAGTACGAAGGAGGAGACAACAGGAACGACATCGTTTCGGTGGAAACCTTTAGAAGGGAAGGCGTACTCATTCAGTGACTAAACTTTGAAGTTTGACCTCCCAGAATTGGGCCATTTTCCTAACCCTAACCACGCTTCACCGCCATCATCGTCCACCTTCAGGAAGAGACGCATCCCATTCTTTCTCACTCCTTTCCCATTTCCCAATTCACCATTCTATCTCTTCAATTCAAGATCCTGCCCACCCATTTCTCTCTCCTTCCGAAACTCTGTGGACAGAAGATAATCTCGTGTTCTTCTAGCCACCAGGAGTTATACGATCTTTCTACAGCCAGATCGAGGTAAACCCTACTCGATTCTGTGGTTTTTCCTTTCTCATTTTTATTTTGTTTTCCGGGGCAATGCAAATTTGGAGTTGGTGCTGACTCACGCAAATCATGAATTTGGACGCTTGAATTTGTTGGTTATTATTCCCCCAGTTGGTTCACTCGTCAGGATCGAGAGATAAATTTAGGATATTTTCATTTTGGTATTGAGGTTTTTGTTTTTGTTATTGTTTTGCCCCTCTCTGGTTGACTAGTGGATTAGGTTTGGATAGTGATGTCTGTGAACAATAATAACCCTTCTAAAGGGATTGGGGCCTCTTCCTCGTCCTTTGGTAATGCTGGAATACCTTCCAATTCTATACCTACAAACCATGGTTTTTCACAGTCCCAAGGACAAGCTCAGATTCCCGTTGGCTTTCAAGGGCAGTTTCCATTGTCCCAGGCCCATGCTATTGTCCAAGCTCAGTCCAAGGCTCAGGCTCAGGCTCAGGCCCATGCCCAAGCAGCAGCTGCAGCCCATGCTCAACTCCAGGCTCATTTGCAAGCACAGGGGTTGAGTCTTAATCAGAACCAGGGTGGTGGTTTGGGAAGTTTGGGGGTGTCGTCGCCGATATCCACACCAGGTAATGCGAGTGGGAAACGGATTCCTCTGAAACCTCCAATTCGCCCAGTTGGATTTTCCCCTACCAACAGCTTCTCGCCTTTGAGACCGATGGATCTCACACCAGCTGCACGGAGGAAGAAGCAGAAACTTCCAGAGAAACAGCTGCAAGATAAAGTGGCAGCTATACTGCCAGAGTCTGCGCTGTATACACAGCTTCTTGAGTTTGAATCTCGTGTTGATGCAGCTCTTGCTAGAAAGAAGGCTGACATCCAGGAAGCGCTCAAAAACCCGCCCTGTATTCAGAAAACTCTTCGCATCTATGTATTTAACACTTTTGCCAATCAAATTCGCACAATTCCCAAGAAGCCTACTGCGGAGCCTCCAACCTGGACCCTAAAGATAGTTGGAAGGATATTGGAAGATGGTGTAGACCCTGATCAGCCAGGAGTGGTTCAGAAGTCGTCTCCTTTGTATCCGAAGTTTTCAGCTTTCTTCAAAAGAGTAACTATTTCTTTAGATCAGAGATTATATCCTGATAATCACATTATTATGTGGGAGAATGCCCGATCACCTGCCCCGCATGAGGGTTTTGAAGTAAAGAGGAAAGGGGATAAAGAATTTACAGTGAATATACGGCTCGAAATGAATTATTTACCAGAGAAGTTTAAGCTATCACCTGCTTTGACAGAAGTTCTTGGTATTGAGGTTGATACCCGCCCAAGAATTGTTGCTGCGATCTGGCACTATGTGAAGGCCAGGAAGTTGCAAAACCCTAATGATCCTTCTTTCTTTCACTGTGATCAGCCTCTTCAGAAAGTATTTGGAGAAGAAAAAATGAAGTTTACAATGGTTTCGCAGAAAATATCTTCGCATTTGTTCCCCCCACAGCCCATACTTTTGGAACACAAGATAAAGCTCTCGGGAAACAGTCCAGCTGGGACTGCTTGTTATGATGTGATGGTTGATGTACCTTTCCCAATTCAGAGGGAGTTGTCTGCTTTACTGGCTAATGTGGAAAAGAACAAAGAGATTGAGACATGTGATGAAGCAATATGTGGAATCATTAGAAAAATTCATGAGCACCGAAGGAGACGGTCATTCTTTCTTGGTTTCAGCCAATCGCCAGTAGAATTTATTAATGCATTGATTGAATCTCAAAGCAGGGATCTGAAACTTGTGTCAGGTGAACCTAGTCGCAATGCAGAAAAAGAGCGTCGATCAGATTTCTTCAACCAACCATGGTAAGCTTCAACATTTATCTTACTTTTTGTTTATCCAATACTGTTTTGTTTTATTTTATATTTAGTTATGTTTTTACTCAACTCCTCTTCATACTTCCCTTTTTAGTTGCAATTTGCAAATTAATACATGACAATCTGTTGAACATGGCTATGATGGACTTGATGAGAATAATTTAAAACCGAGCTTTATAGTTGAGAGATTAATAGCTTACTTCCATATGTTGGCTTAGTTTAAGGTGATGCATGGTATTCCTTGGACTGTATGTTAATTGATTGATACACTTGATCCAACCCATAGCATAGCCTTGGAGGATTGCATTTCAAATTTCAGATGTGACTAAAACCGCAAGATATGTTTTACCTTTGAGCAAATTATATTGACACCCCTTGAGGCTTCTTGAGAATTGCACTTCCCCTTCTTTTTTTTTTTTTAATGTTCACCACAGTTTAAGTCTCAGGAGTTGTTAGTGTAAATCACTCTCTTCCTTTTTGTTCTTGTGTCAAGTAAAAGTAGACTTGATCAGTGTTCATGTGCTTTTTGTTCAATGATATTATATAAATACACGTCGGTTAACATCACTGTAATTTTTAATATCTTGTTTGACAACTTGAGCAGGGTTGAAGATGCTGTTATTCGATATCTAAATCGCAAACCAGCTGCGGGAAGTGATGCTCCAGGAAGCACATGACACCAGGAGTTCTAGGGCCCCCATATTTAGTAATTCATCCCCTTTGGCGATGGATTGAAGATATATATTATGAGAATTTCTGAAGTAGCTAGTTTTCCAACTTCCATGCTGTATTAGTGGCCGGAAGGAATGCTGCTCCATGGTAATATATACAATATGTTGTTGTATGGGTAGTGTGAGCACAACTAGTTGCAGTGCTGATAATTGTTTGTTAGGTGATAAATGGTTCCACAGTTTCACGTCTAGTTGTAGTCAACTGTGGTGGATTCTTTGGTTACCTCAACAGTTCATTTCTCGGCGCAAGATGCTTGTCATTATGAAAAATTGTATTAGGAAGGATTGATTGGTGTACAGTATCTAAAGTTGTCCTCCCACAACACGAGAAAACAAATGTTGCAACGCATGGCTCGTATTTCATAGGTTCTGTTGACATTGATTTTTGAACAACTGTGTTACTTGCTCAATATGAATGTTAGTGGTAGTGTTACATAAATAATTTTGTAACAGTAAATTTTGGTCTCTTTTCTTCGTGTACTTTAACTCAACTTGAAACAATGCAACAATCTTTCATGAAATACTGTGTATGTAACCCAGGCACAACCAAAGCCACAACAAAATAAGAGTTGGTATTAATGGTGGAAAGGAATTTCATGTTGTTATCTGATAACACGTTTTACAAATAATGATTTTGGAATAGTTGATGGTGTATAATTATTTACATTAAATGTTATTGTTCCGGTATTGCTAATATATAATTATTTTCAAGTGATGTTTTCTTTGGATTAGTTGATGATATATAATTATTTATAGTGTTTATATATGAAAACAAACTCAATAATTTGCTTAAGTTTCATTTCTTGGTTACTGAATGTAGTTTCATTGATCCGTTATCCTCGATTCGTCATTGATGGGTATCATAAGCACCTCAAATCATGATACACGGTAGTATATATAAATTATGAATAAAATTATTATGTCAAATATATTTATTATATAATTTTAACATTCATCAATTTCAATTGAAGTCTAAGTATCCTTAATGACCTTTGTCGTTGTATTATTAATCCAACATTTTCATGTGTTGATAGATCTATTTATATATATTATACATTTGACACCGTATTCTTAAAAAATCAACATTTAGTTCGGATGTTGAAACTAATACATATTATACTTTAAGTATTTGATATTTTTATGTTATCTAGTATTCACAATGTGATAAAGTGATTTCATTATTATATATTTATTTATTGAATTAAGATGTTTACTTCCATCATCATATTATATGGTTGCAATCTTCGTTAACTCTTCATCATCTTATTTATAACTTATGTAATTACATACTATCAATATAATTTTGGTATTGTATATCGATTTTTTTAACTAAATACCTATACTTCAAACTTCATCTTATAGTAGTATCTTCTTGTTAACTATTATTTCACATTGCATCAAAGTCCATACATCACATAACATGTCTCAATCTTGTCACTCTCATCACTAACATCATTAAATCATGATTTATATATTTAAATTTTCAAATATTATAGAGGAACAAACATAAAATAAAATTTTAGACATCTAAATACATAGTTAGATAGAAAATATCACTTGACCGAAAAAGTTCACTTAAGTATAAACACTTAAATGACAATTTTCCAAAAATTTAACTTTCTTCTCAAGTTGATTTTCGCATGTACTAAAATTTTTTATTTGAGGTAAAAATTCTAGTTTAAGCTAAAAATTTTGATATTTGAGCAAAAATTACTAGACTTAATCCTTAACTCTCAACTCATTTTGTTTTAACGAAAATTATTTCTCTTGAGTGAAAACTTTCAAATCTAAATCTTTATTCTTAGTCTCATTTTCATTTGAGCAAGTAGAAATTAGAATTATGCAAAAAATGATCAAGTTGTTCTAAAACTGATATATGTTCAAACTCAATCATATAAATAATGCTTGCAAGCATTACCTTGTTAGTTACATAATCATAATTAAACGATGATCAAAATCAACTTTGTTCTTCATCCATTATCACATAGTTGGTATTGGGTACTAGAGGGGAAAAGAAATATTCACCTACGGAAACACACACGAGAAAAACAAAGATAGAAAAATAAAGTCAGAAATTAACGTGGTTCGACACTTCTTACCTACATCCACTAACGTTCTTCATTTTTCAACTTACAATTTTTACAAGGATAAAATTGCAAACCCTCTCATACAATTTTTGCACGAAAAAATTGCAAACCCTCTCTTGACACACAATTACCCAAGTCTCCAATACACCCAAAGACTAGTATTGTTGTGGTGAGTAGACCCAAACTATCACCCCTTATTTATAGTAGTAGTCTACCACTCCCCTTCTTCAAACTACCTGATGTGGGACTTTGGAGGATACCCACACACTTTGGGCACAACATATCCTCCTTCATCCAAAGTCTCACATTAATTCATCACCATGACAACTAGTAACAATGTACTCTTCTTCCAAGACACACTGTTTCTCTTCCTCTTTGGCACACTGCTTCTCTTCCTCTTTGGACAAAACCTAACACCGCACTGCTTTGACCCACGTATTACTTCTCTTCCTCCCTCACACTGTTTCTCTTCCTCCCTTGGACAAAACTTCAGATCAGATAATGTTGTGACCATAAAGCATACTAAGAATTAAGAATCCCACAGAGTCCCCCACACACCAACAACTCTGATACCAATGTTGGGTACCAGAGGGGAAAAGAAATCTTCACCTACGGAAGCACACATGAGAGAAACAAAGATAGAGAAACAAACTCAGAAATTAACGTGGTTTGACACTTCTTGCCTACATCCACTAACACTCAATAACTCTTCATTTCTCAACTTACAATTTTTACAAGGACAAAATTGCAAACCCTCTCATACAATTTTTACATGGAAAATTACAAACCTTCTCTTGACACACAACTACCTAAGTCCCCAATACACCCAAAGACTAGGTGAGTAGACCCAAACTATCACCCCTTATTTATAATAGTAGTCTACCACTCCCCTTCTTCAAATTACCTGATGTGGGACTTTGAAGGATACCCATACACTTTGGGCACAACAGTTGGTTGATGCTTAATATGTTGTATTTGAGCACATCTATATATAGTACATTTTCTATAAATATAGAATATGCATTTCAAAATGTTTCTAACTCCTTTAATTTTGCCCCTGATCTTGTCTCTTTAGGTCACAAAATTGCCAAATTTCATATTTAGTAAACTAAATTTACTTTTATCACCTACCATGTGCCTAAAGCATCCACTAAGCATATTTTGAAGTATTGCATATGTACGAAACAACATTAAAAATAGGATTTTGGTGCTCAAAAATAGTTTGGATCATATTTGTTAGTAACTTCACTGTTAAGTGCTAAAAAGTTGATATAATTATGCCTTGAATTGTTATGAAACCACTTAACTTATGTTAATTCTAATCTATTTTTCTCCTAATATAGGATGAATTCGAGAATACCTTGATACAAGAGTAAAGAGCATAATTGTCAGCATAATTGGAGTAAATTTGGAAGAAGAAAGAAGATTTTCAGCATGGAAGTCGCTCGAGCGAGATTGACTCTCGCTTGAGCAAATATCAGTTATTCTTCTTTGGAAGTTAGTCTCTCAAGCGCAAGAAAATCGCTTGAGCGAATGTTAGTTATTCTTCTCTAGAGTTCACTCGCTCAAGTGAGTGTTTTGTCGCTTGAGTGAAAATAGGAAACTTTCGCTTGAGCGAAAGTTGTCGCTTGAGCGAAAGACACGAGACCCAATTTTTCCTATAAAAAGATAAGATATGTTTTGAGAAAAGCAAGCGGTTTTGGGAAGAAGAGGCGCAACTACTGCTAGGGCTTCGTCCAATCTTCATCAATTATTCACTTCTTCCTCATTTGGAGCATTGTATTGGCCAACATGAGTGACTAACTTAATTCTCTTGGGATATGGTGCACTTCCTTTGAACTCTTTTGTATCATTGTGATATTTTGAGATATTAATCTATGTTTTGATGTTGTTATTCTTATCCTTTGTGCTATGGAATGATTTATTCTTGATGTTTGGGATATGATTGAAAAATATATCTTGAACCCTAGATCACGGTAAGAATATTTGTTACGTTAATTGCCAGGAATGAAATGAATGTATCAATTGCTTAACACCCTAAACCTAACGCTGGAAAATCTCTTAATTGTGTGAGGAATCAACATTTATTAGGTTTTCTTATGAATTTTATGTGTGAGGAATCAACATGGATGATTTGAGTAGTTGGCATCAATATTGTTAGGTTAATTGACGTTCTTAATTGACATAACCGTTACAAAAGAGGAATAAGGAAAGAAACCAATCCTAAGTGCCTTTAATTGATCTTTTCTCAACAATTTACAGTTCTTTGTCATTTAATTTCAATTCAACTCTTTATGAAAAACCCATTCTGTTTTAATCCACTTAGTAAACATATAATTGGAACTTTCCATTGAAACCGTTTCTCGTGGTATCGATTTTTATTTAATCGAAATACTATATTGCGATTGATAAATTTGGTACGCTTGCCAATAATTCAACAAGTATTTCTGGTACCGTTGCCGGGGAACGGTGTTCTTTGAGAATTTTTTGTTTAGCTTATTAAGTATTTTATTTTATTTCTGTTTTTTTGTTTTGTTTTTCAGTTTTATTTTGCTTAATTACTGTCTTGTGCTAATCTTTGCTTGAGTTACTCTTTTGATTTATGCGTTTAAGAGGACACGTATCTTCATAGCAGTTAGAATTTAATCTGGAGATTAAAAAAACTGTTCGGAGGAATCAGGGTAGAAAAAGAAGGGAAACTCAAGAACAAGTCACAGGAGAATCAGTTAACTCTCCTTCCACACTTAATTTACTAGACCCAATTATAGAAGACATGGCAGAAGATGGAGCAAATCTAAATCCAAATCAAAATCCAAATTCAAATCCACCTAGAAGATAACTCAGAAACTATGTTATGCA